TGACAAAACTCTATTAGCCTTTGCCCTGCTTCGTTTTGACCTCCAAGGTCAACCCTTCCCTGTTGTTCCTTTTATCTCTTGACTCCCTACTTTAGCATTCCAATCCCCTAGAATGAGAAAAACATCTTTCTTTGGTGCCGGTTCTAGTCTTCATAAAATTGGTCAATTTCAGCCTCCTCAGCATTGGTGGTTGCTGCATACACTTGGATTACTGTGATGTTGAAAGGTCTGCCTTGGATTCGTATTGAAATCATTCTATCATTTTTTAGATTGTATTCCAGTACAGCTTTTCCCATCTTTTGTTGATTATGAGGGCTACTCCATTTCTTCTATGGGATTCTTGCCCACAATAGTATATGTGATAATCATCTGAGTTGAATTCGCCCATTCCTGTCCATTTTAGTTCACTGATGCTCAGGATGTCAATGTTTATTCTTGCCATCTTCTTGACCATGTTCAGCTTACCAAGGTTCATCGATCGTACATTTCAGGTTCCTATGCAGTATTTTTCTTTGCAGCATTGGACTTTCCTTTCACTTCCAGGCATGTCCGCAGCTGAGCGTCTTTTGAGCTTTGGCCCAACTGCTTCATTAGCTCTGGAGCTACATGGACTTGTCCTCCGCTCTTCCTCGGTAGCATGTTGGATGCCTTCCGATCTGAGGGGCCCATCTTCCGGCGGTCATATCTTTTAGTCTTTTATTTCTGTCCATGGAGTTTTCTTGGCAAAGATACTGGAGTGGCTTGCCAGTTCCTGCTCCAGGTGGATCGTGTTTAGTCAGAACTCTCCACTATGACCTGTCCGTCTTGGGTGTCCCTGCACGGCATAGCCCATAGCTTCTCTGAATTACTCGAACCCCTTCGCAGCAATCTGTGAAAGGGGATTATTAGTTTTACTTAATTCCCCTTCATGTCCCACCTTCTGAGATTCCTTTAGCCAATCCTATACAAAAGTCAGCATTACAATGTACAGTAAAACTTAATTCCAGGCATGTGTGTATATTGTATTGTCTTAATATAGCTTTATAAATGAGCATCCCAAAAATTACTAGGCTTCAGGGAGTATGACAGAGAAAGCATGGAGAGATGCATTTCACCTGTCTGTAGAAGATATGTCCTCTACCAGTCTGAATGATTTCTAGTGAAGATGAAATGGTCCAGATGTCTTTCACCAAGCCATTCACTCTCCTACATGCAATTTTAGGTATCTGTGGCAAATATGGGAAAGTTACGGCTCTCAATATGTTGTGGACGATATACCTCGCCAATCCCACCTAGCATGGTCACTTGTCAGGGATATGGAAAATGTTGCTTCACAATATTTGATGGGGCACAGATACCCATCTACCAGGCTAATGCTTGAAAACACAGTGGCCCTACTTTTTTTTGTACTTTTTGATATGCACACACTAATATGGAATATAGGTACTGTCCTAGTACCTAGTACTACACACATTCCTTTTATACCCCCAGCATTCTTGGTAATAAATATTTTAGACATACAACTTTTTAAACAATTATTAACAGCAAATCAGTTTTTAAAATGGTAGTAGTACTGTACCTCAATATTTACTGTTTCCTCAAGACATATCTGTCTAGGATTTTGATTTGTTTCAGCAACAATTCTGCCATAACTTCCATGGCATCAGCAAGCAGAGAGTTACTATAGCTGTAAATTATTTGGCATTGAAAGCAGTGATGACAGCTCATAAGATAAACCCTGCCCAATTAGACCAAAGGTCTTCTAAATTTACCTTCTGTTTATTAATTGTGATTGGTCAGATATCTCTAGGATACTTAAAAATCAGGCATGACAACAATGTTTGCCTCATATCTGATACTTAGAAATTTATTGCTTTTGGAAATGATAAAATTAAGAATCCATGCAGAAGGTATGATAGAGAATGAGGTGTATAAGCTCTTACATCTCGACAAGAAAAAGTTACTCATTGTACCAAAAAATTGACTTTCCAATTTCTAATTTAATTTAATTAACATTTAATTGCTATTTGGAAAGTAGTTTTGGTAATGGTTACGGGTATCTAGTTACTTCTGAGTGGCAGATTTTTGGAACTTTTTATGCTGATATGAAACGTTATACGCCAAGTTTCCTTGAGAAGACTGATGAATTTTTAAAAATAGATGCATTATAGAGGTTAAAATGGGTAGGCAGATGTGTCTTACTTTGGTATTGAATATTGTAAAATAGGCACCAGGCATACTTCTTCAGCAAGGAATTGTGGATCCATTGTGCTAGCACACAGAAAACCTTATTTGTAATTGGCACACTGTAAGTTTGGAATTTGGAGCAGCACTTCAGTGGAAGATCTGAAGCAAGGGAATACAACGAAAAATGCTTTATTTGAAAGTATGTTCATTTTAATATTGGAGAATTCTGAATAAACATGCATCAGGTTGGATTACAAAAACTGTTGAGATTTGTATTTCATAGTAATCTTAGTTTACTTGGAATTAAATTTTGCTTTTAAAAATGGGTAACAAACAATTTGCTTGCATGAAGTCCTATGATTGGCACCACTTACTCCTTTAGGACCTTTCAGGGTTTTAAAAGACCTTGATAGCAGGTCTGTGTATTCACCTGCATCCTTTTCACGGTCCATAATATTCTTGTTTCTCTTAGTCATTATGTTCCAGCTTAGCAGCCAGTGGTTCATAGCACTGTTGTTTAGAATTGCAGTAATTTTATTTACAGTATTCAGTATACATGAAATACAGTATAACAAAATGTAATTGATGCAATCAGTTTATTCATTCATACTTCTGGAGTCTGTACGCCAAGCCCAACCTATAGCCTTACATAGTACAACAGGGAAAGAGTTTGTGGGTGGACACTGGGAGAGAAGGTTTTTCTTCATCTCCTAAAAATCTTCCTCCTCTGTTAAGGCTAAATGGCATGTTCTATACATGCCCTTTGGCCTTAGTCTAAGACTGGATAGGGTCCTTAACAGGAACACTTAGAAAATGAGAATACTCTGAAACATTTTATTGGAAGTACCACTTGTCTTGTTTACAAAGTCTAGATGTCTCAGATGCAAATCTGATGTCTGAGAAGCAGAGCTCAGAAAATGTTCTACCTCAGATAATATTCAATAAATCAATATGATATAGATCCTAAACTGTTGGTTGGTAGGCATCCTTCAGTCTCAAGGGACTGTGGTAACGTGCTCTGAATAGAGGTCTTGGAACAGCGTCTAGTGTGGCTGAGAAGGCCAATTCGAGAGTGACAATCATTTCCACGCTGAAGACAAATACAATCTGTCCCCTGTCCAGCTCCCTGATTTTGCTGGTTTCGGCACTGCCTCTTTGCCTCAGCCTGCTGGACAAGTGTCTCTTCAAAATGGGAGAGGCTATGCTGCACCAGGCTAAA